TTTGTCAAAAAATCAAAAATCAAAAGTAGTGTTACTAATATTATGTTTGTTTTTATTCTATCAGTAGAAAAAGAAAGTTCTTCAGTAATCCCCACGTTCCAAGATCGTCCAACGAACATTGCTCAATTCTTACTTACCAATAATATTTCATCAAATTTTAATTCTCATCAAAATTTTTAAATGTATAATTAAAAAATCCTAACTAATTACGTCTTAATTTATTTAAATTTCAACATGCCTTTTTATAAAGAACAAAGAAACAAAGACTGAAAGGCATATTCAACATGCATCATGGATAATAAAAAAGATATTAAGAAAATTCTACGAACATAAAAAGTCAGGGAAAGCTTAGACATGACATTTAACTCAAGACATTTCTTGTGAGACTAATGGAAATTGAAAGAAAATTGTTGGAATCACGATTCTGCAGGTTGTTTTGCGAGTGTGTGTAAATGTTTGTGGAATAAATTATAAGAAAATTAAATTCATGCATCGACAAGTTTTCTCTTTGAAATTTAATTTTATCTCTTTTTTCATTATAGTTTTCAAATAAAACATTATGATAGGAAATATTTTTGATAACAAAAGAAAACAAAGCAAATAATATAATCAAAAGGTAAAGAGTTTTTTAATTGTTAATAATTATTAGATTTTAGAAAAAAATAAGATAAGATGAGTCNGAATTCAAAAATAAATAATAATAATAATAATTTAATGAGAAAATAAATGGAAAAGAAATATTCATCATCACGTTATACATTACATGATTTTCTTATTTCATTCAAAAATATTAAATTGTTTTATGATGTTCTGCTGGGATTTATTATTTTTAAGTAATTCATATATTTTTAATATTTACGAGTGTAGATTTTATCGTCATCGCATGTATGATAAATCAGCGGATTTAAAAGCGCAGTGAGGGCCAGCATAAAATATGATGGAAAAATATAATAAAGTTCATCATTAATCATCAGTAGATATAAACATCCTTATGCTGTTTGTTTTTTAATCAATTGCGACCAGAATTTGTCTCATTCAAGCAATTTCTCAATTTCTTTTAACATTTTTGAATTTTGTAATTCTTTATTTGTTGCTTCAAAAAATTAAATTTTCATAGCACCAAAACAAAAACTAAATTAATAACCAAAGAATAACAAAAAAAAAGAAAAATATTTTTTGTATTTTACATCAACCAAAGATAAATTTAAGGACAAAATAATTTTGACAAAACCAAATTTCTAATTTTTTTTGTATGATAAAATCAAAAGAAAAATAGATTCGTATTGAGACCCACCGAATTTTGACGTCCAGGTCGCTGCCCTCCGGCGTTTGAGCCACGTGCATAATCGTAGGTTTGATACGACGGATATTGATCTCCATCGAATGAGCGATAATATTCATCATAATACGACTCATTATAGCCTCCGCGATAGTCAGAAAAACCATAGAAATCATAATCATAATCTATAAAAATATGAATAAGGTGAAGCATTACAACATCAGCATCAGCATCTTAGTCAAAGACGATAAGATTATTATAGAAATATATAAATAGAGAGAGCGAGATGTAATTAGAACTTTTTTGATTCATTTTTTACTTTTTAATCTGAAATAAAACTATAATAGCTCCAGCTTTTCTATAATTGACGACGATGACGACGAATACAACAAAATGAACGACGACGATGACGTGAATTTAAACGCAACTCGCAATGGAATAAAATTAGAAAAGAAATTAATTAAAGAGAACAGAAAAAAAATAAAAATAAAATGTTAAAACAAAAAAAATTAAATAAAAGTTTATTTACTAACTAAATTTGTCAAAAAATCAAAAATCAAAAGTAGTGTTACTAATATTATGTTTGTTTTTATTCTATCAGTAGAAAAAGAAAGTTCTTCAGTAATCCCCACGTTCCAAGATCGTCCAACGAACATTGCTCAATTCTTACTTACCAATAATATTTCATCAAATTTTAATTCTCATCAAAATTTTTAAATGTATAATTAAAAAATCCTAACTAATTACGTCTTAATTTATTTAAATTTCAACATGCCTTTTTATAAAGAACAAAGAAACAAAGACTGAAAGGCATATTCAACATGCATCATGGATAATAAAAAAGATATTAAGAAAATTCTACGAACATAAAAAGTCAGGGAAAGCTTAGACATGACATTTAACTCAAGACATTTCTTGTGAGACTAATGGAAATTGAAAGAAAATTGTTGGAATCACGATTCTGCAGGTTGTTTTGCGAGTGTGTGTAAATGTTTGTGGAATAAATTATAAGAAAATTAAATTCATGCATCGACAAGTTTTCTCTTTGAAATTTAATTTTATCTCTTTTTTCATTATAGTTTTCAAATAAAACATTATGATAGGAAATATTTTTGATAACAAAAGAAAACAAAGCAAATAATATAATCAAAAGGTAAAGAGAATTGTTAATAATTATTAGATTTTAGAAAAAAATAAGATAAGATGAGTCATGATAAGAGTTATGAGTGATCGAATGTTATTGATTCTTCCAAATTTAATTATTGAAAGTATAAACTACAAAAAGTAACAAATCGTCACAATTTTAATCAATTAAATTTGTCATCACTTAATTACAAAAAGAACATTTCTACAACCAATAACATTCCTTCACCATATTAATTTCTATCTAAAACATAATCGTTCAACTTATTGTAATCCAATTCTTTACATAAATATTTAACAATTCTTATCATTTTAGATTATTAACCTTTGTGTCTTGAATATTTCTTTAAAAATTTATGACAATTTTCACATGTTTATAATCAAAAATGTTTCGTTTCTCATCACTTATAATCAACAATTTTAATTGTTTCGAAAGATAGAGAAAATAGAAAGAAAGAGAAAATTGAAAATCAGGCGATTGGCAGTTGCGATCTAAATAATGTTTTTAAAGAAATTGTTCTATGTACCGCAACAACCCCAAAATGATAAGAATATAAAATTAAATTGTTTTTAAAACGAAAAAAAAAGTTAATAGCATAATAGTTCAATAGTTATTTTGTGTGGGAGTTAAGGAAACAAAGGAAAGTAAGGAAGATCATTGCAACAATGGGATCAAAAATAATAATCAATATAAAAATATTTTTTCCCGAATTTTTCTCCAAATTTATAACAATTTTTTTTACTTAATTAAATTAATTCAATTAATCCGCGGGAACATTTCTTTCCTACTTTTAATGTCTAATCCTTAATTTTAATGTTTTTTTTTTCATTCTTCTTCTTTATCTTCTTTTAATAACATATTTTAATAAAACTTATGGAATCAAAGAATTTCTGCTTCATCGTGATTATTAATCTTATAATCTGATTTATTTGCCACTTGGGCAGGTCTTAAGAAGTTTATATCTAATTAAAAATACTTACCGTAATCTCCACGAGCCATAGGACCACGTCCAAGTGGTATTCTTGGTTGTGTACTCGTTCCAGCTCGACTCATTCCAACAGGCGGTAGCGGTGGTGGCATCATGCTTGTTGGTGACATTCTAAAATCATATTTGTTATTTTATATCAAACATTTATGAATATTTCTCTTTTATTCGATTAAGTTTACCCAACAATTCCCGATCGGCCTTGCATCATTTGCATCATACGTCGCTCACGTGCTCGTAAAACTTCTTCCTTTTTCTTCTTATCTGACGGTGGTTTTGCTAACGACACCTTAAAGAAAATCATGAATAAATCTTTCTTTTCTTCTCTACTGTTTGGAGAGTTTTCATTCTTACTTCAATATTCGATCCGCCAACATCCTTTCCATCCAAATCTCTCATTGCCAGCACAGCGTTGTCACGATCTTCGAAGTGAACAAAGGCGTAGTCTTTAATTTTCTTAACTCGTTCCACTTTGCCATAATTCTCAAATTGTTCCTAAATTTAAAACATAATTAAACAAAATACAATTTTAAATAATTAAATTTTTTATACCTTGAGCTTCTCTTCGCTGATTTCTTGTGTGAGATTGCGAACATAAAGAACTTTCACTTTACTCATCGTTCCTTCATCAGGCTCTTCTTGGGGATCAGCCCAGTCCACGATTATATCACAACTCCAGACCTTTAAAAACAAACATTTTTGTTGTTCAGAAAGTTATTTAACTTTATTATTCCTGTCATACTTTAATTCGACCAGTTCCCAGTCTTCGTTTAGCTAAAGAAGCTGCTTTGTGTGACTCGTATTCCAGGAAGCAAAAGCCGCGATTTTTCTTCTTATCATCAGGCGAACTATAGATGATGACTTCCATCAAACCGGCTGTTATCATCATTCATTTAAAAGGTTCATGATGAAAGATAATTAATTAATTGAAATAATAAAATAATTCAGATAATAATTTCAAAACTAATAATTAAGAGTTTAGTTATACATGTTAAAAGGAAAATAAATTATGTAAATATCTAAAAACATTTATTTTTCTCAGAAACAAATTTCCAACGCTTAACAATTTCGATTTTTCTCTTTATTTTTGGTTACACATTTTACTTCCCGTCGAATGCCAAAAAACGCTTAAATTATTTAATTTATTCATTTGATTATCATAGATTTTCTTTTTAAATTTAAAACACATTTAGAATTAAATTTAAACAATAAAAATATTTACACAAGTTTTCTTTGCCACATAACGCATAAGGTTGTTGTGGGTGGAGGGATAATAGAAGAGATAGATAAAAGAGAGGAAAAAAAGTTTAAAACATTTAAGTAGATATCCAAAACAAAAATATTGGTGGATAAAAATAGAGATAGAGAGATATAAAAAGAACTTAAAATGTGAAAAAATAATTATTGATTAGGACACGTTGATGAAAGATTATTAATAGTCGTTAAAAGTTTTATTTAAGTTGTGCAAATTTATTCTTTCAATCAAAGACATGATATAAAATTTCATTATGATTTCCTTCTCCAGTCATTACTGAGAAATTAAATTTTGCTATGCGGAAAAACTTTTTGCTTTTCTTTTCTGAAGAGCATGGAAAAACGAGGTTGGTTGATGGAGAAAAAAAACTAAATCGATGAATTTTCAATCATAGAATGATTACATAATTATTGAAAATGTATTTTTCCTATGTTTGTGTGTTTAAGTTACGAAGCGAGAGAAGTAAGGAGTATAAGAGGAACTCTGTAGCCTGACAATTGATGTAGCAAAGATTTAACATACTCAGCATGAAACTTTTTCAATATTCGTTAATGTTACTTTTGCAAATACACGTTCAAAATAAAGTTTCTCCTTCTTTTTTAAAGTAATTAAATAAGCGAATTTGGCAATGAATTTTTCGAGGGTTTTTTAATGAAATTGTTGAGCTACAGAACAGTTTCGTAGAGAAAATAAATTAATTAACAAGCCAATTGACGATGTTAGGATAAAAAAGTTACTAAAAGGTAGTCATTATAGTAACTTCATTTTCTGAGTGTCTGAAATGATTTTATGAACAGAAAAAGCTTTCATTTCAAGCACTCTAACGAACTTAGCCAATTAAAACTGTTAAGTAACTTATATGTTAATAATAATTTCACCAATTGAAGTTTTTTTTATCGAATTTTCATTAAAAATCAGTTGCAAATTAAAAATCTTATTTGCTATGATAATTAATTAAATAAAAATTTCACATCTTTTTAATTTTGATCGAATTCGTGTTCGTGGGTGTTTGTGTGTCAATTTTACATACAAATCTTTTTGGTTTTTTAATTTTTTCGAATATCCGATTTGATAATTTTAGTAGAATTTTGATGCAATCAACAAATTTGGAGGTTGAATAATTTTGAGACGAAAGAAAATTGTTAATTTAAATATATTTTGTTCGCTTTTTTTCATCGATAATGAAAAATAATTTTGGTTCGGCTAGTGGTTTGAATTTTTTGTTTGGTTGGTTTAATTCACTTACGTGCATATTTAGCAAATTCCTCTAAAATTTCGTCGCGATCTCTATTTTTAGGTATATTGCCGACAAATAGCCGGTGATTGTTAAATGATATCGTTACACCAATCTTTTTGCCTTTCCGAATTTCATAATCATTAAGCTGTAATTAATTAATATTTGAAGACAAAAATGGAATGTTTTTGTAGTCTTTTTAATCTGCATTAATTAAATGAATCGAAGGAATGAAAATCAACGAATGATTGAGACATATTTTTGATCTGACAATAAAATCATTTCGCTAAACTGTTGGATATGAATTGATTGGCATCAAAACCAAATAAATAAATAAATAAAAAGGGAAGAAGAATTTGAATCAAGATAATGACTGGAGATAAAAGTTTTCAGATTTTTTTTTTCTTCTTTCAATTGAATAGTTAAAAAATCCAAAAGCATTTTCCTTGTGATTTACAATTTTTTGTTTGTATTTTTGTGAAGATATAAATATTATGATTTTCTGATGAAGACTTCATGAAGCATGTATAAAAAACATAAACTGTATACATATTTGATTATGTTGTTGCTGGAAGGAGGCGTGAGATGTGTGAGAGAACGAAAAAATGAAATGATTTTATAAATAAAAATAATCTATGGGAATTCTAATGATGATGGAAAAATAAAATGAAATAATTCTCAAACTCATAAGTTACATATAACTTAATGTGAAATGATAATAAAACGAAAATATAAATAATGATAACGTATGATACTGACAAGCGAATGTTAAACAACGAGTTCTCATTGGATTAATTGCGAGTGAAATGAAATTCTCATGATGTGATCTTATAACAGGTGTTTGCGCAACATTCACATTCGATCTTTTTTTATTCCTTTTTTGGGTTCTGCATTGATGCATACTTAGCAGCGTATTAGAAGTTATTTATTTATTGGAAAATATGAAAGAGTTCAGTAAACTCTCTTCCAGGAAGGATATGCACTCGTGAAGAAAAAAGGAATTGAAAGTTCATAGAACCTAAACAACGAACAAAAACAAATGATGAATATGTTTGCATTGCTGTTGCTGTACTGCTGACGTTCAATGAGGTAAAAAACATTGCAAGCAGATGGTATGCGTAATAAGCACTTTTTGATATTTGTTTCGATCGTTAGATGAACTTTTAAAATTGCTGCCAAACTTAAGAATTGAATATCAAAATGGATTGCAAGAAATCATATTCATATGAATGAATGACATTTGTTTTATAAAACATGATAACGAAGCGATGATGTTTCAAGAGACGATACGAGGCGCAAAAAGATCAGGTGTGACGAGAGCCCACGACTTTGTCATTTTTTCATTTTTATAAAATTTAACAACTTTCAACACAACACGAGTTAATTAGCACGTTTTGATCGTTAGTAGAGTTGATGACAAGTCGCATCATTCTTTTTTATTGTTAAAAACCAAAAAGCTAAAGCTTAGTGAAAGAAGCTTTAAACGCGAAGAATTATTTATGCGACAATAGTCTGTGTTGGTGGTTTTCGAAGACTTTTTACTTTAAAACTTGCTGATTTTGTTTTTGGTTTTGTTTTTGTTTTGTTCATTTACCTGTCAATTTGCCAAATTCGTCTAATATCTCCTCTTTGCCTTTTGATTTCGGTATGTTGCCTACAAAGAGGCGCAGATTGGGTACGCTAACATTTATTTTCAAGCACTTGCCGGGTTTAATTTCGAAGTTATCGAGCTGTTGGCGAATGTTGGGGAGAGAAGAAGAGAAAAATAAAAATCATAAAAACGAAAAAAAAGCATAATCTAAACATACAAAATTTCCTCTCGAGAGTGAAATTTTCTTGCCAATAATTTCTTTTCTTTGCAATACGAAAATAATAAAAAAATAATTTTCCTTTTAGAATTTTAAACAAATAAAAAAAATAGACTAACAGAAAACATAAAAAGAGAAAATCAAAATAAAAGCATTTTCTTCTCCTTTCTTGTGAATGAGTTGAAAGAAGACAATATTAAATTTTACTACAGTTGAAGTGCAACTAACGAAGCAGATAATAAGCAAAGCCATCGTTGTCGAGAACTTCAAGCCTTATCTTGCTTTTCATCTGCATCGTTGACATAGAAAAAGGAAATTGTAACGAGAAAGAAAGGAGATAACTGAAGGGAAGACTTTTTAAGATCAACGAGAGACAGAAGATAATTTTTTGCTGATAACATGCTCGCATTGTGAAATATAAAATTAAAATTAAGACCAGAAGTTTCATGAACCCGGAACCATCAAGTGTTTAAATAGAAATAAAAAGCAGAGTTACAATGAAAGCCAATTAAATAATTAAAGCAGATTATAAGCTAAATAAACCAAAGAAGCTTCTTTGTTTTAAATTTAATCTAATAGAAGAAGAAAATTTTGAATTTGCATGTCAATCTTTGCCAATGGTTGTTATTTCCAAATCACATGAAGTCGCATCGCAATCTGGTGGCCGTTGAGTGCAAAGAGGAGACCTGAAAGTAAATTTTCATTTTTCTTTTCCATGTATACATGAGTATTGACCATCCTGAATCGGCCAGATGTTGTTCATTTCATTTTTGTATTTCAACATTTTATTTTTAATTCAGTTTTGATGTGTTTGTTTGTATGCATTTGGAGTATCAATGACCCCACGATGGTTTCGTTTTTTTTTTATCCGGGATGTGTAATTTTTTTATTCTCTCATTCTTTCTGTTTGTTTTTTTTAAGAGTTCAACTGATGTTCACAAAATTGCATAACATTGCATTTAGCCAATTATCCACCGAACCGAAGTCACTTTCGTTTTCTTCTTCCTACATCCAAATTAACAAGCCAATTTGCTACCGATTATTAAGTTCGGTGTTTCCAATAAATGCTGGGCTCTCCATCTCTTCCAAAGATAATTGAGAAACTAATATACATTTGCACATAAACATATTCTCGCGACATTCTTTCCTCGAACAGTTCGTTTGTAAAGGAAAAGTGTTAATCACAGAAATTATAAACTAAATGATAAATTTAAAGGTAAGAGAACTAAAGGAATAAAATAAAATATCAGTTTGGGTTTCATGGAGTTTATATACAGTTTGATTGCAAGGAGGAAGCAACATAACCGAAAGGAGAAACATAGCCAGAATATGAAATAAGAAAAATAATCATCAGAAAATATGAAATTCTTGAAGTGACTCTGCAGAAGTTGTACGACGATTGGAAAGAAGCGAGAGATAAAAAGCAGTTTTACTTTTTAATCTCTAGATTGGTTTTATCATTTTTCTTTAAAAGCTTTTCTTTTTATCTATTAATCTGGAAACAGAAATTTAATTTAGAATTATTATGTTCTTGATTGAGTTGAACAATCTACTGAAAGATAAGTTTTTAAAAAATATTTTCCTATGTTTCGACTACAAGCTCATGCTCGAGCAGGAAATTATAAAAGGATGGTCAAAGTTATCTACTCAATAAGAAAAATAAATAAATAAATATAAATACAACGTCTTCATGGAAGACAAAAAGTTATTAAATTTATATAATAAACTACAAAGGAAGCTATTTGAAACTGGCAAGTTTTCTTTTTCTATTTGACTAAATAATTATCGATTTTTGTTTCTTTACTAGATATCTCAATCATGAAAAAAAGTTATGCAATGAAAAGATTCATTAAAACAAAAAGTGAATGTGAGAGAAAAAGTTCACCACAAAACATCATCAATCCAAGCACTTACCTCTCTGACTGCATTGTATGCTGCATCCCGACTTGTGAATGTGATAAATGCATAACCTCGATTTGTGCCGGTCATCGGGTCCATCATCAGACGCAAGTCCCAAATTGTGCCGCATTTCTCAAACAATGGAATCAGTTCATCTTCATACATATCTTTGGGAATCTTTCCGCAGAACACTTCGCAGCCGTTTCCTGGTGGTGCTAATTCCCAATTTGGTGGCGGTCCGCCATATTTTCGTTGTCCTAGAAAATTTCATCAAAATTTATTTTTTCATAATTTCATTGATTAAATATTTAAGGAATAGAAATGGACCTGTCGTGACATCCAATGTGTATCCTGTACGTTCGAGAATTGCTTTAATTTTCTCTTCATCGGGACCTTTCACTGTGACTGGAACTGCAGGTGTTGGGATTCCTTGTTGACTGGCTCGACTCTTTTGTCTAATGAAAAAAGATTAATATTAGCTGTATTGAATATTTCTTGAATATTAAAAATGTTTCATTCACCTGTACGTCTTCATGACGCCACACAAATAAGCCGATTTATTAGATACATGCTCTAGATTCGATTCAAGAAACTGACTCAACACGTTCAAGGCACCATCAACGGGAAATTCTTTCAGCGCATCGAGGGCGCGCTCATCGAGTTCGGTGTGGGCGAGCTTGCCCGTTTTGTAAATATCATCTAATTTGGCAGCAACTTTCTTATCTAATCCGTATTCTAGCAATTTTGGGTAGTCTTCTGTCTTTTCACCGTCGCCACGATCCTCCGACTTTTTTGTCGTTTCATCAACGATTTCTCCATTTCCTTCTGCCATTTCTAAGAAGAAAGAGAAAACATTAAATTTTGTACATTCATGCTAAATATTAAGATGAGAAAGTTCAAATTTTACATCACGATGTTATTTTCAGTCATTGTCAGTCAAAAAAGTTTCATTATTCATTGACATAGGTTATGATTTGCGAAGCAATAGATTAAATCTAATAACAGTAAAATCTTACGCAACGCAAACGCCGAAAAAAGTAAAAACTTTCAATCATTTCTCTTTTGTTCCATTTAAAGAAAGAAATAAAAAAAATTCGCACAAAAAATATTTTTGTTCGTTTGTCTACGAAGTATCTACGATCTCGCAAAAAAAAGTGAAAAAGAAGTGATTAAAGGTATAATAAAAAGCGAATGAAACAAAAATGTGCGTAGAATGCAAGAAAGAAGAAAAAAAAATTCGCAAGTCTCGCGCGTAGAAACAAAATGTGGGTAAATGCTGTGAAGGAAAGAAAAATTGGGTCACGCACAATTGTGTTGGTGCGTATGCTCGCAGTTTTCTATTGATGACAACAATTGGCTTTTAGAATACATTAGATTGTTGCGTTTTTATTATAAAATAAATACCGGTATAATAAGATGGGATGGGTGACGAGTTTTATTTTTTATTCAATGTTGAGTTGACAATTTATTGTCATTTATGACTGTCAGGTCGAAATATGATAATTTTAAATACACTTTAGCATGTTAGCTGAACTTTTATGTCCTTGAACTCCTGCTTGCAATGAGTTATAAACTTTTCCTTGAATATATTTTTATATCACCCGCCACTGAACATTCTCCATACACAACCAAATTAACGTTCACGCATTCGGATGAAATTTAGGTCGTCCTCATATACATTCACACAAAAAGTGCGTATCGCAATTTTTTTTCGCGAGTCTTACGAATTAAAATTTCTAATTTTTAGCGATACTTTTTAGTTGAAGATTGGCCTGCAGTTTCAGCAGACGGCCGTGGTGTATTGTTCGCGAGATGGCTGCTTTTTTTGCTATATTAATTAGCAATTAACATTCACTTTAATCACTTTACATCTTACGCAATTGAAAAAAAACTTCCACTAACAGAACTTTCACATTGATGTAAAAAGGGCTGTGCTAGTGCGTTTAGAAATTAAGAAAAAAATTGTAAAAAAATAAGTTTAGTGATTTTTAAAAGCTTTTAAAGGAAAATTATTCAAATTACACAAAGTTTAATGTCAAGTGACGAAGTATAAAGGAAGAGTACAAGAGAAAATATTTATATTCTTCATTACCATAATTAATTGTGAAATGGAATAATTTTTCACATCCAACGAAGCAGACACTTTGATCATTAAATTTCCGTCGGTTTAGATCTCAAATTCAACTATCAAACTTGCACAAAGCGCGAAGAGTATCGAAGCAAACCTCATTTTTCGCAGTATTTTTTTTTCTCAATACATTTTCGCAACAAAGAACCAACTCGGGCAGCAGCGCGAGTGGGTTCAATGATCTCGATGGTCTAACGACCTTCACGATAATTTTTTTGATCACCCTCAAATGTATTTTCCACACACAAATATTCTTGTCATTTGTGGGTTGATGAGATTTAATGTCTGATGAATTTTATTGTGATTGAAGCTTCAAATGCATTTGAGAAACTTCCTCGAACATTCCTAAAGTCATTACACTTTTATCATTAATCAAATTTACCCTCAGAGTCATGAGATCTTCATGGCATACAATGCTAAACAGCAAAAGGAGCCACACAAAGTCGTTTTAAAGATACGGCAACCTTTCTTTCGGTTGCTTGTAAAAAAGCTGTGTTTGTAGCGACTTTAAGACAAACACCAATTTTTTTTGCACAACTCGTAAAGACATGAATTGAAAAAGAAAAAAAGATTTGCAAACGATTTTTTCAGCAAATTAAAAAGCGACGCAATGTTTCTGTGTGAGTTTTGTGTGTATTTACATGACAACATGTAGCATTTGGAGTGTGAAAGAAAAAGCGAAGCCATCATTCAACATCATGAAATATTTATCGCAGGAAAAAGCTTTTTTGATTACCTTTTACTCTTTGTATAAATCGACAAAGTGTTTCTTATCAAATTATGTGACTTGTGATAATATAAAAAGCTTAATATGAAAGAGATTGCAAAAGAATGTGAAATATTTTAGCATAGAAGGAAAGAAAATTCAATCAAAACTCGTCAAATATGTTTCCTACTTATGTTGGAAAAATACTTCAAATGGGAAACAGGAACTTAAGCAATTTATGGTTGAAGCATTGCAAGAAGGAAATTAAATTTGAAATGGAAGGAATCTAAAAAGCGCAATTTGTTTCATCAATAATTTAACCTAAAAACAAAACAAAGTCTAAGCGCAATCATGATAAAATTTTAATATGCAAACATATCAGAGAAGGCGGGTTGAACTCGTTGAATTTACAGTACGTACAGTAAAAATAAACTGCCTCAATTTTATAATCATTAAGGAAAATTCCTCTCGATTCATTTCTTTTATTTTTAGAAATCAACATGAAAAAATATTTAACGTGGAAACGAGAAAGAGTAGAAAGCTTTTCAGTCATCGGATTGGTAAAATCACAACGCAAATAATGCAAGCCACCCACATATAATGATGTGAGATGAGAGAAAACATTTCTATCGGAATCTGAAACTAGAAGAAGACAACAACGAAAGTCAATCGACCTCAGATTGGAAGAGGAAAACTAAACAATTTAATCGTGATATTCGTGAAATCGAGGAAGAAAATATGAAAGAAAGAAAAATCAAATTATTCGACGATTTTCCTTCCTTGTGTAACTTCTGTCTGTAACATTCACCATCCACCCTCACGCACTGAAGAGCACAACATTCTCTCACTTCTGTTGTATGTAGTGAGACGAGAATGTAAACAGAATCAAATTTAAACACCCGACGACAACAACAACACAACGTGGAGAGTTGCAGACAAAATCAATAATTTTCTTTTTTTGATTGCGCTAAAAACGAGTCGTCTCGTGGCACTTTTCCTGCTTTTCTCATACACTCTCTCGCTCGTGTGCTTTTGATGTTGTCTAAATACTTTCCTTCTACATTGTGCAAGAGAAAAAGGACTTGGAAAATTTATAGTTTGTTCCTTTTATTCCTATTCTAACGTCTTCCGGCATAATTCACATTAAATGAGTTTTTCTTTCTCACAAAAAGCGCAAACATTCCTTGTGTTTAGTGTTTTAAGGTAATATTTTATTTGAAGTAAAATAATAAAGAAAGAAAAGTTGAATGAATTGAAATGTATGTTTGCGATATTGCAATTGCATGTTCAAGAAAACTTTTTTTCTTTTGCATTAAATTTAAACAGCAAGACATGACAGTGATATAACAGCTAGAAAAGCGATGAATCCTTTAACTACGATTTTAAATGTCTGGTGTTAAGTTTGAGTACTTATCACTCATCCCTATCGAATAACATTTGCAATATCAGAATGTTGTTAAACAGTTGCGTAGCAATTCAATTTATATTTAAAGAAGCAGAGAATTAACAACAATAAAAAGGGAAGGAAAACTTTTCTCTCCGCTTTCTCAGTCAATGCGGAATCACAAGTTTCTTTTCCTTTCGCAATTACTTCCCACATTTTCTTTTTATGGAAAACCCCCCGGAATTTTGTTTTCTTTATAATTGTATTATTGCTTCAGCCATCGTCTGGCTACAAACACATATTTTCCTTGTATCGAGACATGGGATGGAATCAGACGACGTTGAATGGGGTAGGTAAGGGTGAAAAAATGTTTACGTTGGAAAATCTTTTCCTTTGAATGTTTTCTTTGTGTGGGTGTGTGAATAAATATGCGAAAAATAAAACGAGAAGCTTTTGGTGAATGCGAGAGGAAGTAAAAAGGTTAAAACAAAGAGAAATTTATTGTCGGGTCAAAAATTCAAAGGATTGAAGAATAATTTCTGTTTTTGAGAATAATCGGAAAGAAAACCGAAAATGTACGTTTTTCCGACAATACTAGCGTGAAAGTTTCATGGACACAATACAAGACACATTGTGCATAGTCGCCGTGCGCACTTTAGCTTGATTGTGTTGGTTCTCTCGGGTATATTGAACTTTGATATTCAATCGAATTTATTTTTGGATCACTAGGAGAAAGGGGGAAAAAGGAAAAATATTTCTATGGACTAACATGTTCTAGGACGAGACGGATGTGAAATTTTCTTTCTTTCTTCTTTCGGTTTTCTTTTCTTGATTTTTCAATCTCAAGAAAATATCTCACGTACACCCACAGAATACGTTTTCAAGGAAAATTCATTTTCTTCTTCGTATACAATGAGATAAAAAAAAAGATTTGAACTTTTTTGCTAATGATACGTAAAGCTTTCAACGTATTCAATGTGGATTTGCGAGAACTGCCTTCTAATTTTAGACGACTTTAGAACTTCATTCATCGTTGTGAATGAGACAACAAAATCAATTAAATGATATTATCAATTAATCTATCGTTCAGGGAAATCTTAAATACTAATCAAGCACCACGTGTTTAACAAGCAATTTTTCTTGTCGATTGCAATCTGCAATTGTCGGCTTCATAAGAAACATGAGAGCGACGGAAAGAAGCAAATTCAAAATGGTGAAAAAGCACATTTTTCTGAATTCTTTTTCATCAGAGTGCAAAAAAACGGGTAGAAGAAGTACAGTGCACTTTTTTTTAAATATATTCTCTACAGCTCCATACATGCCTTCATACATTCGTACTTACATGCACACTTGCATCGCAATTAATTTAAATGTGTGCTTAAATGAATGTGCTGGTTAAAGCAGCCACACCGGGAAAGGCAATCACCGCATAAAATCCATTAGAAATAAGCACAATGGAAAATTACTAAAGTTATGAATCAATTGAATTAGGAATCTGAGATTTGTTACACTATTGCTTCCTTTATCTTCTTTAATAAATTTTATTCGCGAGTCACTCACAAATATTTTCTTGGTTATTTCTACTGCAGTAGTTTCTTATTAATTAATAAATTATTTTACACTTTTTAATTTATCGCTTAATTGATTCCGAAATAATTGCTATGTAAAATATTAAAAAGGGAAATGAAATAAAGAACAGGCAGAAAGAAACCAAATAAGAAAGTTTTTTTCGTAAAAAAAAACAGAAATCAAAATGGTGGAGGAGACGAGAGAACAGTTTCTTTCAGAATTCTTTTTTTTGCCATGCATTGGAAACTCCTTCTACATAATTGTTAGATAATACATTTGAAGAATTACGAGTAATTTTCTTGGAACATCTGATGAGGGATTTGGGATGAGAAACAAGGCGTGGACGATTTTAAAGCGCCAGACAGAGCGTACATCAACGTAAATTTGCATAAAATCACTGACGTGGATGATCAGCACAGAGTGAAACAAGTCACTTGGCGTTCACTAAACAATTTACCCAGACGTTCAGACGACTGTCATCTAAGGCAGAAAAAACCATTTCATTCAAGACGAGATTCAACAAGGAAGTGTACAGCTTAAGACAAATATGTTGAAGGAAAAAAATCGTCTCCCCTCAAGGTTATTTCTTTCTTCTTTATATTTCACTGAATAGTCAAAAGCCGGCCGGCTTCATTCTTTTATTTTGTGTGTGTAATTTGACTTATAATAAAAGGATTGCAAACATATCACGGTCATGAAACGACCCAAGGTAAGATTTATTGAATTTTTCCACTTCACGCAAGTTAAAAAAAATTAAATCAACTTGATTTCCAGTTTAATTGTTCTCAGGAGTCGTTCACATCACATTTTAATCATACATTTTTTATATCAAGTTAATTGTATGACTCTCGTCCTTGTCCTTCAAGTTTCACAAACATTTTCACGATCTATTTTCACTAAACAAAACAATAGAAATTATTACCTTCGACATTGAGCTTTACAGCATTTTTTCTTTGAAATTCAATTCAACTTCCTTAGCCGGAATGAAAACTTATGAACAAATCTCCAGATATTTTTTTTATAAAATTCCGTAGCTATTTTCCACCAGTTAAAAAATTATTTTTATTTATCTTTTCCTCATGAGTGTCGTTCTTGATACCACCAAATCATTTAAGGGAAAATCCGTGTTCCATCAAAGGGAAAAAGATGTGATTAAATAAAAATATAAAAAAGGCAGAAGGAAAATTCGTTTGGTCTTTTACCTTTCTCAAACACAAAACAGACACTAAAACTCTCTTACACGAAAGAAAGAATGAAAAAAGAGTTTTTTATACACGAATAAGGCGAATGTAATGGCGGCTTGTTCGACGTCAAATTGAGTGAGTCTTCGTATGCGGAGAAGAAGCAGCAGGATTGTATAATGTGCAAATTTTTTTTTATATTTCACATTTTGAATGTGTATCTAAAGCCAAGCACAAACCACCACACCAAAATATGCTACGGTTCTCTCTCACACATAAGCGTCGATTAATTTTCGAGTTGGGTGCTGTAGCGGGGAAGCAAAATTCAAATGTGTACATGGAAATCAGATTTTAGCCCATGATATAAAATAAAGTCAGAGAAATATTTGTTGAAAGTAAAAATGAAAAAGACTAGAAAATATTTTTTTTATAAAAAGCCCCACTAAAGATCCCAGTGGACCATCATTTATATATCGGCACGTTAAAGTCGCTGAAACGCGGTTCTAATCACAAGTCATACTCATACACACTTTTTGTTCCAATAGATTCATTATACTCTGGCTGTTAACATTGACATGGTTTGTTCGAATTGAGCGTCGTTTTGCTGTATATGTGCAGAAAAAATATAAAAGTATAAAAGTTTGTGCAAAAAATTTGCGAATTTTTCTTCTCTTTTGCTTCGTTTTCTTGCCTCGTCGTCATCATCATACAGAGAGATTGAAAAATTTGTTGTTGCATTTGTTAAGATTTCGGCTTTTTATATCGGAGGGATAAAGTTTTTTTAGTATTTTTTCGGGTATTGGCGGATGATGAGACAAAGATACGATTTCTGGGTGATAACTTGCTGGAAACAGTGCGATAAATATAGAAGAATGCTTTTCGTTGCGCTTCAATAAGCATTTATTAATCTCATGTTTCAATGGAATTAATATTCTGATTCGTTTCGATTCTAAAGATACGACTGAAAGTGGCGCGTGATTAAATTAAGTTGAAAACTATTTTTAGTCAAGTTTATATAAATTTTGTGGAGCAAAAAGCTTTTGATTTGAATTTGTTAATGAATGCAAGTTAATGAGACTCCAATTAATTTTAGTGAAGCGACACAAGTTCAAGTTTGATGGAATCGTAACGACACAAAGGAAACGAAGAAAAAAAAATGTCTTCGAGAAGTCATGCAAGGCATCCACACATTCATAAATTGGCAGCATTAATTACATTCGGAGAATGTGTTTTCGTGTTAATCTTGCCAATACATTCACACATTGATCGAATTCCTCCAGAGAGCTTTCACCCACACATTCACACGATACGAGAGAGCTTTCGTTCGACTTCAGTCACATTTTTTCTATCATCTTTTTTTTTCGAATATGCGACAATTTTTATGCAATTTTATGCACTGAAAAATGACTCTTTTTTTATAAAGTTAGCGAAGCAGAAGAAAAAATTTCTCATAAATATTTTGCAGTTGTCTGATCTCATTTATAGCTTTTTTCCACAAATCAACATTTTTTTCGCATATAACATTTTTTAATGTCTGCAAAATCATTTCGCGTTTTGACGTTTCATAAAATAACTGCGTTAGACGAATGTCATGTGCTTCTAACGCCGACGGGGAATGACTTTTTCTATTAATTTGAAAAGAAATATGAGAAAAATTTCTGAACTTACTTTTTGGTTTCTTAAATTGATATTTTTTTCCTAATAGAATTTAAGCTATAAATTATATTACAACTATTTGAAGCGTAAAATTGATGTGAAAATGATTTCTTTCTCCTCCCTCTTCGTTGAAGATGATCTCACTGGGATGAGAAATGTTAAGGTGGAAAATGAAAATCCAAATGTCAATGGAAGTAAACTTGGATGAAAAAAGTTGACAAAGTTTTTCTTTTTTTTTATTTAACACTTTAGTTAATGTCACAACGCTTAAATTATTGTCAAGCTAGTGTTACATAACAATCTATTTTTCTCGTTTTAAATTTCACTCATTGATATTAATTATTGGTCAATTGTAACGACTTTCAGAATGCACTTCTTTGGTCTCATTTTATATTTATTTCATTCTTACAACCGAACTTGTATAAGCGTTTTATGTTGTTAATTTGATTTCTTTATGTCTTCCCTCTTTGTTTTATATCGCTGTGCTTTTAGATTCTTTAGAACTTTCTATTATATTTTTTTATGAATCAACACTTATTAATCAAAAATGCATCGTATAAAAATATATTTTTATGATTTTTTTTCCTTCCTTCTTCTGTAATCTGGTTTGTTCCAGAAAAGAACTTTTTTCTCTTGCTTTATCAATTATTCAACTAACACTTAACTTAGTAATTGTTATAGATAGTAAATGGAGCTTTTTCTTTATGTCTGCATTTAAAACAACGTTAACATCAGTATAATTTTTCTGATTTGACGATTCTTTGTCAAAAATAATCCATCGGACGAAATTATACTTTTATTTTCGCTCCTGCTAATTTTATCCCAAGCACAATTAATTTTTATAATGTTAATTAATTCGAATTCACGCCAATTCGATCAAATAAAAGGAAAACCAAAAATGTTAATGAACTATTTTAATACGATTTATAAAACTTTTCTTATAAACTTCAATGTAATGTTTGATGATTTAATTTTTTCTTTATTACATTTCAAGAAATGCAACGCGATGACAAAAATTTTCTCCCGTCTCCGCTGTTTTTAAGTTGTTAATCGATCGCGTTCAACTTTGCTAGTGCACTGGCAAAATGTTGATGAGAATTGCTCGCAAACACAATTTTTTTAAATGTTGATTCAACAAAAAGGAGAAGAATTAAATGAATACAGCAGCAAAAACAAAACGAAACCAGCACTTTTTGAATGTGGAAAAGTCCCTATCCGTATTGTACGTTAGAGCGATGTGCTTCGTTATATACGATGCGATTGAGTAAGAAAGCGCAGTGAGAATAAATCGAGTTTTCATGTTTCGCTCATATCCCAGAGGCAAACGGCAAGATATGCGCTCTTCTCTGTCGTTTTTCTAACCAACACGAATGAAGTTCTCCGGTGCTTGCTTTTCGTCCGTGTTGCAAACACATGTGTGAAAAGTGTGTAAAAAAGCATCATGCAATTTTATTTTTTATCTTCACAGCAGCGCAAAAAATTGTGCAACACTATTGAAGCCTTTTTTTATACTTTCAAATACACATTCAGTGTTTTGTGTTCGTACGTCCCAACTCGATGAAACTTTTCTTCATATTGCATCGAAAAAAATTGTATTTTCTTTTTCTTTTGCATTTATTCTGATAAAAAGAATTCTAGTCTAACGTTGCACAAAAGCACGAAGTTACACACTACTTAGAGTATATTGTGTGAAAAAGAGGAACTTGACAATGGGAAAAGGCAGTATTTGTATGCACATGTGAAAAATGTGTACCCATAGATGTTATATAAGATTCTGGGATTCACAAATATTTCCAAATTGTCTAAATATGACTGGAAAATTCATTAAAATTTAAAGTCACGCGCTTTTTTCTTCTATTTAAATGAATTTGCAAGGCTAAAGAGGTAATTCAGATGAAGGAGAACAAGTCATTCAGTTCTAGACTAAATTTACTTCATTTTCATATAAACAGTGAAATTTTACGATCATAAACATTCGAAATGTCGCTAAAGTTGAGCATTGCTCATGAAACGAAATTAGATTCTTGACATGCTATAAAAATATTTTCTTAACAAAAAAGTATGCTGAAAAGATAAAGAAATCAACGAATATTTTCTTACGTATTTTGTATCAAATTCTTCACCATCACTTCATAGTCATATTTGTGATGGTTGTTCTAGTTTTATCTAACAATTATTTATTAAGATAGTATCAAAACCCAATTTAATATAAAATAATCATAAAGTTTATCTTTTGCAATTATTCGAGAGAAACAACACAAGATTTAAGAACTGAATGAAATAAATAAAAAAAGTGTTGTCGTTGCAAATTGTCATCACTTTCCTTTACAAGTAATGAAGTCACATTGGGCAAGATTCTATGAATAAGAATGCTTCGCGACTAAATGTAATAACTTTTTCGTTTGTATTTGTTTCGTTCTAACCCGAGACAAGATGTAAGAACCTTTACTTTGCTGAAATAAATCACACACATCAACAGAATCATTCAACGTTCGACTACACCAAGAATTTATGCTACATGCAAGATTGTGATGCACGATTGTTGGTCACCTCTTTAAATTGAAATTTCTTTAGGACTCAAATCTTACGTCACTTTTTTTTCTGTAGCATAGTAAGAAACCTGATTCAGGAAGATGCTTCCAACGACCCACAAGAACATTTATTTATGTCCACAAACTTTTCGTTTCTTCTCATAATAATAGTAATAAAAACATACATTCATAGCCGATAATTATGATGCCTTCCAGTAAAAAAAAACATTTGCATGAACATCTTTTCACCCTTCTTCTCCGTCATTGACAATATTTTCTCGCAACAACAACATAAACAGTCTTTCGTTTTGTAATTTCTTCTCTTCCCTTATAAAAATGAAGTGAACACACGTTTAAAATTGTGTCTTCTTCTTTTACTTTTATCGACTGAAAATTATACAACCGATTTAAGAGGTTTTCTCATGATCTCTTTTTATGTATGTTCAAATTGAAATTAAGAAGGAAAATTGTTTCTAAAGCTAAGTGAAGTGAAGAAGTTATTTTGAAATGAAGAACTTAAACATCCACTTTTTGTTATTTTAAAATGTACATTGAATACTTAAAAAACGTCTCACAAAATTCTTTCACACCTCAAACTGCATAGACACGTCACAAGTCGAAGAACTTGGAGTGAAACAAAACAAAAAAAAACAACAACTAACTCTCGCAGCTTGATCACAAAACATTCATCCATGATGCCAGTGAGTTTTTCCTCACAGAATTCAATGTGTTGCGTCAATAAAATTTTTTCGCTATTTCTTCAACTTAAGAATCCTGTTTTGATTCCCACAGAAAACTTCATGTCTTCTTGTTTTCTTATTTTTATGCACGCCGAGAGAATGCTATTGCTAGGATATGAGGAGAAACAGCCGCGAGAATGAATAAGCATTTAACAACAATAATAATCAAAAGAATGGAAAGAAGATGAATAAAAAAAAAGATTGTGACATCCAACACTTAAATGAAGAAGGAACCATTCGCTGGACCATCCTTCCATAAATTATTCTATTTTTCTTCAAAATGCAAAACGTTCTTCTTCATTCACTATTGTCCGACATTGTCCATTATTATTTCTCTTCATCGTTCTTATTATTCAAATTGAATTTACGAGGCTGCAGTTGGATGTAAAAAGTGGATGAACAACGAACAACAGCAACAACATTGATGATGATGATGATGCTTCCTTTGCGCATTCTTTTTATTTATTCCTTTCTCTCCCTTCAATTTCATCTGTTTTGTTTTACATCATCATCAGTAAAAGATTTTGGTTTTACTTTAACAGAATTTCAAGACAAGACACCCCTTCCTCCCAATTCATATCTCTTTCAATATTCTTCACTCAGCTTTGATAAATTTTAATATTTTCAAAATGAAATGAATAAAATATTTTAATTCAGGAAATACAACAAACAGATCTAAATTTTCCATTCAAACTCACTCCTTCGTTAGTGGTTTTATTTCATGGCTAGACAAGACATTGAAAAATAATAAAGAAAAGAAAAATCTAACTAACAACTGGACAACGAATTACGTCTTTTCATTCATTTCTTGTGAGTCTGTCGCAGTAGAACAAAGAAATTTTGAGGCTCACTGATCTTTTGTCTACATACTTCCTCCTTAGATTCCATTCAGAAACAAGGAAAGCAAAACTCTCGTCCTTTCAATGAGATTACTCAAGAAATATTCTTTACACATTACTTTCTGTTCATGTTTAAAATGGACAGTGCATAATAATTTTTTTTGCCTTTAGATTGGACTATCAAATAAAATGTTAGTGTCAATTTTTCTTTGTTGGTTTTTTTATCAAATGTTTATTTTCACAATTTTTATGTTGAGGGAAAAAAGTTGCCATGGTTCGGTCTGATTTAATTTCCAGAACGAGACTTGCGAGTGAATCTTTTGACCGGTCAAGACTCGTTTTGTTATGCTTTATCGTTCTGAACACCAGTAGTTGAATGTTTATTTTACTTCCTTGACACTTATGAAGATTAATTTGAATTTGAATGAAGTTTGTCGCACGACATTTAATGAATATTTATAGCAAGTGTTGGGATTCGATTTCAAAGATTGGAATAAAAAGCATGAAAGTTCATTTTGTAATAAATGTTTTGCTGCAAGTCACTTTAACGACACGAAATGTTCGAAAATAATTAAATGTTGCATTTCGCATACATATAAATGAACCGCAAAAGTCAAAACCGCAAGTTATGTTAATTTACAACAATGAAACTCCACAAATAATTATGAAAAAATAAAACTGAATAACTACTACTTGTACGGAATGTAGTTTTAACTTCTATGATACTAACAAGACTACTTAAATGAATTGTGACATCAGGTTTAAAGTTTTTTAGATCGAATGCACGACATTGCATCTTTTTCAAAAACTATTTCTGCTTTTGCGCGTTTCTTGATAATTTTGTAATTGTGAAAGATACTTTACATTCTTCATAATATTTTATTTATTATTATTGTTTTGTAACGTGCAAAAATAAATAATGAATTTTGTGTATGCAATCTGAGCAAAGTTATGTGAATACAGTTGAAAGGAAAATGTATCAAATTTCAATGATGTTCTCATTACCGTCATTACAACTTCAAAATCTTAACACATGTCGTATGAAAAATGTGCAAGGGAAAAGCTTCACGATTGCAATATTTAGTTACTGAATACAAAAAAAGAAACAAGTTACGAGACAAGAGCAAGGCTATGTGAAAACTCGATCATGTTTACATTGGCATAGATTATAAAATGTTGAAAACTATCATCATTTGATAACTTAATCACATCATGATTGAGTGACTTAATTGTGTTGCACAATTTTGTTTTCCTTTCTTGCAAGATTTGAAGGTTCGTATGTCGCTCATTAAATGTAATTCTTGAAGAAAAATATAATAAGTCTCAGATCGTGACTAAACGCAATCGTTTATGATGATAACAAAAATAAAAATTGAAACCTGCTGTATTGAAATTCGCGCCAAAAGAATCGCCAATAGCACTCATACAAACAATTGAACATAATTTTTTTTCTCTTATTAAATTCAATTTCCTTTGATTCTTTCACAACTTAAGAGAAGAATAAAAAAGATCCATGAAGAAGACATTAAAGAAAATATAATAATGAAGAAAACATCTTCAAGTAAACACGCCGTTGTTGGACAGTAGAACTGGAATTTCAGGATTTCTTTTAAGTTCTCATTTTTCCTGTAACTTCATCACATTCTCTCGTCTTTCACACACTCACAGTCAGCATCATCAATTTTGCTGCAATCGTTTTCATATCTAGTTGAGATCCCGAAAAAATTATGATGACTTTGTAAATTAGATATGATGAATTTCTACATCTCACCTAAAAGAGTTGATGAAAGCATCCTCATAACTGCGTTATCATGTCGTTTACGACTAGCATTATCCAACTGTTGCTTTCAGCTTCAGATAATAAAATGAATTGCAAAACATATACGAAGCGTTTAACGAGATAATAAAATCATTTTTCAACGGTTTTTCATCGCAGTGCTTCACTTCATAGATGCAAACGAAGCCTTTTTTCACCAAAAAATTTATTACAAGCTTTTACAGATGGCAGATGTTTTTTTTATTAATGGAAAAATATGTGCAATTGCAGTTTTGTGCAATCAACAAAAGAAAGTAAACGTTCTTATTATTTTGCTGTCTTTTTCATTCACTCAACATTGATCGAGGGTTTCATTTCTCTATTTTCTTCACACGGTCAATGAAAGTTACGCGATTTTTTATTTTAATTCAACCCTTTTCATTTGATATGTACTTTCGAACGTTATTTAATCCATCAAACAGCATGTGTGAATTTTTTTAAGAAAGAATCATAAAGAAATGTGCAATTGCATATTGAAACCACGTGGTTTGTCTCCATCTTTGTTTTCATGTTCTTTCTTTTAGTTCAACAACGTTTATTGGGAGTCATTCTTGGTTTCTTATCAAAAAGGAAGTTTCAAGAATAAGAATCGTTTGTCTTAGCTCTTGAAAGTCATCAAACTTTATTTATTTTAACAAACATTTCGCCTTTTTGTATGCATTCATATCACAAACCTTTCATCAATTTCCTTTTTGCATAAATCCTGTACAGAAACAACAAGCTTTCTTTTCCCACAAGTTTTCCTTTCCTGTTTTATGTGATGACAAAGAGAAGAACGCAAAAAAGGCGCAGATGCAACTTAGAATTTAATAAAGAAAAAAAAAAGCAATTGGAAAAAAATCATCTAAGAAGAAGACGCCACTTTTTGTGTTGATTGTGTAAAATGCAATGAACTTTCCTAACGTTCAAAAACCGAAGCCCCGAAATAAACAAGAAGAAAGCAAGCAAGAAAAAAAAAGAATGCACATCAACTGCTCACGAAATTGCATTTGGAAATGCTTTTTCTTTAGCTTTTGCTGGTTTCATTTTTGTTTCTTTAGAATTTTATTTATTGTTTATGGTAAAATATTTTCTTCTTCAAAAAAATAAAAAAGAGAGAAAGAAAGAAGAAATATGGAAGTGAACAGAATGTTCAAGTACGACATGCATTATGTGATAATTCGCAATATATATGGCCATACATAAATATATCAGAGACGCCGTTAAACGTCAGAAGCTCAATGTATGAATTTAATTAACCTATTTCCATGTCAATTGATAATCAGAACGACCGCACTGGACAATAAATAATCAAATAAAAGCATACAATTTCAGAAGTCATGCGTTGAAGGAAATTATTTTTTATTTTTCAGAAATACTTCGAAGGGTTTGCATAAGTAGCAAAAACTCATAGTGGAAACTGCATGAAGGAAATGAAAACATCAACAATGAATATCTGCATTTTTTGATTCGTCTGTGAACCTAAGCATAACTCTTTTCCTAATGCACGAACATTATTATTTTGATAGACGATTTTAGTTATTTTTCTCGTTTCTTTCTACTCTCGAAGTCAGACATAAATTCTGAAATAAGCCGAGATTATAAGAGAAGGAGAGCGAAAAAAAATCATAAAACATTTTTTGCACACAACATAAGTGAAGGAATTTAAAATTTCAAGAGAATTGTAGTTGAAAATTTCTCAAGTGATCTACTGAAATAATTTCCAGGTGACCGTTGCAACTTCAACTAACGACAAACGCATTTTGCATCGATGCGTTTCATTCATGTAATGCACAAATTACTCGTCATGTTTATCAGCCCTTTTCGCGTACCTATAGAATTTTTCCTGCACCTTTTCTTTATTTTAATCTCCCCCCATGTGTCATCCGCTTTCTCATCGACAATAAAGCGAAAAAAGTGTGTAGTAATTCATACGCAAATTTTTTTTCGCTTTTGTTATTACTACTTAAAAACGCATATGCTGTAATGCATCATACATTCATAATAATAGAATGCAAGACGTATAGAAGTTATGAGAAAGGAAAATTAAGTGCAGGCTATTGTGTAGATGCCGTTGAATAAGAAGCCACTAACATATCTGGCCGAAAGGGTTTTTTTATTCATGACAGTTTAAATTTCAACAAACTGCCTCCTGTGCCTCAACCTCTCAACTGAATCCAACATGCAGAAAATAGAAATGCAGCAGCAATTCAAGTACACTCTTCAAAATGCAATTGAATGCTTTATTTTTAAAATTTTAAGAACTATAAATTCGACATTTCTTTTTTGCAATTTGCTTCTAAAGCGTCTGCAGCGGAACTCGTAAAAAGCACTTTTATTGATTAAATCATTTGATTTTTTGTATTTCTGAAATTCTGAAAGAAGGAAAAAGCCTCTGCAAACTGCTTTTTTTACTTGATTATTTATACCACGACCACGAGTGAATGAAGTAAATGAAAAAGGTCAACGCACTTTTTCGAAGAAAGAACGACGATTTGAAGATGAAAAATTGCAATTGAGTGAAGAACATGAAAAGTAAAACTTGAAGATGCAAAAGATTGAAGAATTAGATGAAAGTAATGCAGCTTGGTGAAGATAAAAAAATTCATCTGCTTATCCAGATTTTTAGGCGTGACTTTTCTTCACTTAAAATAACTTTGCATTTTAATTATAGAGAAATCAATCGTTGCATTTAGGGTTGTCAAGTCATGCCTGACGACATGCCATGTCGTCATGCCATGACGTCAGGCCTGACGACATGCCATCAGGCATGACGTCATGGTTGATGTTTTTTTGTATGGGAGTTTTTGAAACTCATTTTACACATAGAAAACTTGGTTTTATATGTACAATGTTTTCTTATGATATGTTCAACTATCAATTCTGAACATATCTTTGATACACCATAAAGCTGTAAAAACTACGCATCGCGAGATAAAAGAATTTTAAATTTCCCATGTGATACGTAGGTATGATATTTTTCAAAGGTAACTTTCGTTCTATAGCTATAAAACTTAAACTATTACATTTAGGTATAAAGTATGTTTGAAAAAGTTGTTCCTTGATACATTCTGCATATTCTTTCGATAGATTGTGTTTCTGTAAGGTGACACCAGAGGGCGCTGGAGACAAATTATTAGTAAATTTATCTCCNAGAATTTTAAATTTCCCATGTGATACGTAGGTATGATATTTTTCAAAGGTAACTTTCGTTCTATAGCTATAAAACTTAAACTATCATATTAAGGTATAAAGTGTGTTCGGGAAAGTTGTTCCTTGATACATTCTGCAACTTTTTTTAATAGATTGTATTTCTGTAAGGTGACACCAGAGGGCGCTGGAGATANGGAGATAAATTTACTAATAATTTGTCTCCAGCGCCCTCTGGTGTCACCTTACAGAAACACAATCTATCGAAAGAATATGCAGAATGTATCAAGGAACAACTTTTTCAAACATACTTTATACCTAAATGTAATAGTTTAAGTTTTATAGCTATAGAACGAAAGTTACCTTTGAAAATATCATACCTACGTATCACATGGGAAATTTAAAATTCTTTTAACTCGCGATGCGTAGTTTTTACAGCTTTATGGTGTATGAAAGATATGTTCAGAATTGATAGTTGAACATATCATAAGAAAACATTGTACATATAAAACCAAGTTTTCTATGTGAAAAATGAGTTTCAAAAACTCCCATACAAAAAAACATCCACCATGACGTCAGGCCTGATGGCATGTCGTCATGCTTTTGTTCACCATGTCGTCATGCCGTCAGGCCTGACGTCAGGCCTGACGTCATGGTGAAAACCCTATTCCAAAATATTTTGACGATAAGTTGAAAATAAGAAATGATGTCCACCAAAAATCCTTGAGAAATAATTCAGCATTTACGATCCCAAATT